ATTACATTTCCTATGAAGTGCAAGTGTGACACTTTAATAAAATGTCATTACATTACATTAAAATATGTTTCAAGAACCAACAATAAAACAAAGCATCAACAAGACGTGGATTTATTTAAAGAATATTTTCAATTAACCAACACCAAAACAAGCATCAACAGAAGACGTGGATTTATTAAAGAATATGTTTCAAGAACCAACACCAAAACAAGCATCAACAGAAGACGTGGATTTATTAAAGAATATGTTTCAAGAACCAACACCAAAACAAGCATCAACAGAAGACGTGGATTTATTAAAGAATATGTTTCAAGAACCAACACCAAAACAAGCATCAACAGAAGACGTGGATTTATTAAAGAATATGTTTCAAGGGCCAACACCAAAACAAGCATCAACAGACGACGTGGATTTATTAAAGAATATTTTTCAAGAACAAGCTGAAGGCTTGGATTTGTTCAAAACTGCTTTTCAAGAACCAACACAAAGCGTGAATTTTTTTAAAAATATTTTTAAAAAACCGAAATACAAGGCCCACGCCTTCTTTAAAAAAATGTTTTCAAGCATCGACAGAAGTCGTGCATTTTTCAAAAAATATGTTTTCAAGCATAATGAGGTCGCGGACTTTTTTTTAAATATTTATTCAAGCATCAAAAGAAACCGAACATTTTTAAAGAATAGTTTTCAAGGACAAACTGAAAGCGTATCTTTTTTAACGAATATTTTTCAAGGATCAACTGAGGCGAGTATTTTTTAAAAATATTTTTCAAGCATCAACGTAAATTTTTTAAGAATTTTTTAAAAATTATTATTTGATGCTTGTATTTTTTAATGATTTCACGATTTAAAAATATTTATAAGAATCCTTCGACAAATGTTGTGTAATAAATCCTCGCCTTCAGTTGGTCCTTGAAAAATATTCTTATGTAAATCCTCGCCTTCAGTTGGTCCTTGAAAAATATTCTTATATAAATCCTCGTCTTCAGTTAGTCCCTGGAAATAATTTTTAATAAATCCACGTCCTTGAAAATATTATTTAATAAATACACGTCTTTGAAAATATTCTTCAATACATTGACGTCCTTGAAAACATTTTGGAACAAGTCTAGTTTAGGGCTCCCTCCCGGATCGTTTTGAAATTTTTACCACATGTAGTCCTTGGGGCCCTGATTACAGCAGTATACTTTTTTTCTTGCGGAAATCGGTATTTCCGGAGATATAGGCCTCGAAAGTTCCGTTGGGACCCTTGAATTTTCTCGTAATTTTTTAAAATTCACTAAGGCAATATGGGTATCATTTTAAAGCATTTGAAACCCTGATTACAAAAATATAATATTCATATCAAATAAGTCCATACTTCCTGAGATATAGGTCCTATGGACAGATGCCAACACCGGCTACGCGACAGAATTTCCTTTTAATTGGAATAGTGTTTGTGGGTAGCCTCGAATAATGTCTGCCAAGTTTCGAGAAAATCGGTCCAGATTTAGATATAGCTCTCATATATAGTTTCGTCCGATTTCATGTAAATGGCGCACCAAAGTCCCTATATAGTCCCTATTTCGATTTGCACGAAATTTGGCATAATGTACTGATATCTACCAAGTTTCGTGAAAATTGGTCCAGATTTAGATATAGCTCCTATATATAGTTTCGACCGATTTAATGTAAATGGTGTATCAAAGTCCTTGTATATATTTCGATTTGCACGAAATTTGGCATAGTGTAATGATTTTGATTTAGATATAGCTCCTATATATGTTTTCACCCGATTTAATGTAAATGCAAATATATATCATTCGATTTGCACGGCATAGCGTAATGAATGACATGTTTATGGATCCATTTTCGTGTCTATGGCCCTGATTAAAAAATATAATATTCATATCAAATAAGTCCATACTTCCTGATATATAGGTCCTGTGGACAGATGCCAACACCGGCTACGCGACAGGATTTCCTTTTAATTGCAATAACATTTTTTTAAAAAATCAACGGCTTCTGTTGATGTTTGCTTCTTAAATTTTTAAAAAAATTCACGCCTTCTGTTGATGCTTGATTTGTATACCCTACACCACACTGTGGTACAGGGTATTATGTCTTTGTGCATTTGTAAGTAACATGCACAAATAGACGAGATAGACCCATAGTTGCTTTTTGAGATATACTTAGAATCACTTTTTAAGTCGATTTATGAATGTCCGTCCGTCCGTCGGTCTGTCCTTGTATTATTGTGAACTGATGCAGGTCGCATTTATTGTCCGAATGAGATGAAATTTGGCAGAGGCTGCTTATTTGGCCCAAGGACGAACCCTATTGAAATTGATAGTATACCAAAGATCCAATGTTTGTCCGATTGCGACGTAATTTTTCACAGCGAATCAAATTTTAATCTAGAATGACGTGAATTATTTTCTTTTGAAATCGGTTCAGATTTAGATATAGCTCCCATATATATTTTCGGCCGATTTTATCTAAACGGTGCACCACATACCCAATATTTATCCCTATTATAACATATGTTAAGTTTTGTTGAAATCGGTTCAGATTTAGATATAGCTCCCATATATATTTTCGGCCGATTTTAACTAAATGGTGCACCACATACCCAATATTTATCCGATGGCCACGAAATTTTGCACAACGTACCAGCTTAACCCTATTATATCATATGTTATGTTTTGTTGAAATCGGTTCAGATTTAGATATAGCTCCCATATATACTTTCGCCCAATTTCACCTAAAAGGTGTAACAATGTCCAAAAAATTTGTCCGATTGCGAGGAAATTTTGCATAACCCACTAGATTGAGGCTTGAATGACGTATGTTAAAAGTTGTTGAAATCGGTTCAAATTTGGATATAGCTCCCATATATATTTTCGCCCGATTTCATCTAAATGGTGCACCACAGACCCAAATTGAGTATGTTTTAACATATGTTAAGTTTTGTTAAAATCGGTTCAGATAAAGATATAGCTCCCATATATATTTATGCCCGATTTTACCTAAAAGGTATACCAATGTCCAAAAAATGTGTCCTATTAAAACGAAATTAAGCATAACGCACTAGATTGAGTCTTGAAAGACGTACGTTTAAAGTTGATGAAATCGGTTCAAATTTAGATATAGCTCCCATATATATTTTCGACCGATTTCATTTAAATGGTGCACCACAGACGCAATATTTATCCAATTGCGACAAAATTTTGCTCAACGTACCAAATTGAGTATATTTTAACATATGTTAAGTTTTGTTAAGATCGGTTCAGATTAAGATATAGCTCCCATATATATTTACGCCCGATTTTACCTAAAAGGTATACCAATGTCCAAAAAATGTGTCCTATTAAAACGAAATTTTGCATAACGCACTAGTTTGAGCCTTAAATGACGTATGTTAAGTTTTGTTGAAACCGGTTTAAATTTAGATATGGCTTCTATATACATTTTTGACCGAATTCATGCAAATGTTACACCAAATGCCCAAAGTTAACCCGATTGCGACGAAATTTTGTACAACATGCATAATTGAACCTATAATGACGAGTGTTTAGTTTTGTTGACATCGGTTCAGATTTAGATATAGCTCTCATATATATTTTCGGCCGATTTCATCTATATAGTGCACGAAAACCCAATGTGTGTCAGATTGCCACGACATTTTGCACAGGCTACTGAATTTAGTCCAAATTGCATTAAGTTTAGTTTGTTTTTAGTTTATGTTTTTATTTGAGTTTATGTTGTTCCAATAGCACCTCCTGCATATACACAAAGTGGTGTAAGGTATCACATAGTCAGCCCCGTCCGACTTTCGTCCTTTCCTTACTGGTTTTATTAAAAAAAATATTTTTTTTATATTTTTTGATGCGTATATTTTTTTAAGAAGATTTTTCAAGGAATACGTAAAAAATTTGTGAAAAAATATTTTTCAAGCATCAACGTAGATTTTTTAAGAATTTTTTAAAAACTATTTTTTGATGCTAGAATTTTTTAAAGATTTCATGATTTAAAAATATTTTGTTTTTGCAAAATAGTCAGGCTGAATCCCAAAAATATTTATAAGAATCCTTCGACAAATGTTGTGTAATAAATCCTCGCCTTCAGTTAGTCCTTGAATATAATTTTTAATAAATCCACGTCCTTGAAAATAATTTTTAATAAATCCACGACCTTGAAAATAATTTTTAATAAATCCACGTCCTTGAAAATAATTTTTAATAAATACACGTCCTTGAAAATAAGTTTTAATAAATCCACGTCCTTGAAAATATTATTTAATAAATCCACGCCCTTGAAAATATTATTTAATAAATCCACGTCTTTGAAAATATTTTTTTTAAAAAATCAACGGCTTCTGTTGATGCTTGCTTCTTAAATTTTTAAAAAAAGTTCACGCCTTCTGTTGATGCTTGATTTTTTATTTAAAAAAGGTTTTTTTTTAATATTTTTTAATGCGTATATTTTTTTAAGAAGATTTTTCAAGGAATACGTAAAAATAAATATTTGTGAACAAATCTTGTAAAAATATTTCTAAAGAAATGCACGACTTTTGTTGATGCTTGAACAAATATTCTCAAAAAACATCTCTTTTGTTGATGGTTGAACAAATATTCTTAAAAAAATCCAAGTCAATGGATTTATTAAAGAATATTTTTTAAGAACAAGGAGAAGGCTTGGATTTATTAAAACTACTTTTCAAGAACCAATACAAAGGGTGGATTGTTTTAAAAATATATTATAAAATATATAAAACCTTTGCCTTGTGTTGTAGATTTTTTTAAAATAATTTTCAAAAAACAACACAAGACGTGGATTCTTTAAAAATATTTTTCAAGCATTGACAGAAGGCGAAAAATTTTAAAGAATATGTTGTCAAGCATCAGAAGAAGCCGAAAATCAACCTAAAGCATAAATTTTTTGAAAATATTTTAGTTTGGTTCCCACATCAACAGCATTATTATCCCTTTTCGATTATATTTTTATTTTTTGTTTTTATATAGTATGTTTTCATTAGTGTCATATAATTATGGCGAGTTTTGTGTCGTAGACACAAAAAAAAACCAAACCATTTGACGGGGACGGATATATTTTTAAATACAAAGGCGGATCCTATTTGGGAACGATAATAGCAAAAAGCGGTAAATTAATGTAAGAGATGTATTTAACGTTATATTGACAGTTTCATTTCCTAGACAACAAGGAAGAACTTTCTAATTTAAAGAATATAAAAGAAGACGAAGCCAATAGGCAAGAAACACAGCCAAAACAAAAGAATACTCATTCATCACAAGCGATGGAAATTGTAAGGAATTCTATAAAAAATATGTCATCGTCCATAAATAATGAAATGTTACAAAGGTAAGTTAGTATATATATTTTTACAAGAACCTGCACAATTTTTCAGTTAAAATAAATTGTGTTCGATTTAGTTATAAATTTGCACGAATTGGTATAGATATGCAATAAGTTTAGATCAAATTGGTTCATATATAGATTCCAAATATGTGTAGTTCTTCTCTTGTTTAATATATATAAGAGATATTTGAGGTTTTTATTTACCTTCTTATTCTAAATAAAATAATCAAAAAAGAACCACCAGATTATAAAACCTTACTTGAAATATGTTATATAACCCATATCCATGCCTACCCATGATGTAACTGTTGTTGCGTAGTTTTATTAACATTTTCATTGTTTACAGCTTAAAAACTTTTAGCTTGGTTGCTTACGACACTGATGATTATTTTGTTATTAACTCAAAAACTATAACACAACTCCAAGGCAGTGATTGTGTTGTGAAATATAGAGGTGGTTTTTATTCTGCAAAACTAATTGCATCTTATGGTGAGTTCGTCAATCAATATATGGATTTTGTATATTACTTTTAAAAAATAAGACATATTACACTATTGAGCAAAAACATATATTGCTTCCCCAACAGTTATTTAGCGTAGACATATTCGACACAATGATGATAATTTAATTCACAACTAATCATTTTACTATATTTGGAAGTACCATGACGTCATCGTTTTGGAATTTCATTTACACTACACATGTTTTACATACACATATGATTACTTCAAAAATATAAATACAAGGTGTCTGAGATTGTCATTAATATACAGAAAAATGATAAAACATTTATAAATTTATATATAATTTTCCACATTTTATAATATAAATTTGTTATGAAGAAAACACTACTTTGAAAATAATTTTTTCATTGCATACTAGCGCATAACCCTTTTGTTGTTATTGACGATCTTAAACATTTAAAGTATTTGAATATCTGATATAAACAAATTATATACGAGCGAAAATTAAACAAGTTTTTCTATAGATGACAAAAAGAAACTTCTGGAATTAAAGCGAATGAAAAGAAGACAAAGTCACTCAAAACATTTAGACCAAAAGCCTACATATGAAATAAATAAATGTATACCAAATTCTACAACAAATGTCAAGAAGAGTTCAGAACCAGAAATTATAAATGGCAATTCAATAGAACTACAAAATAAAAACCATCACGAAACATCGGGAGAAGATTCAAATTATTCATCATATGTAAGAAATCACGAAATAATATATAATTCTGGTAGTGAATGTTCTTTAAATGATTTTGACGTAAGTTTGGCAAAAAAACAAGGGCATCTTAAGAACTCTACAGTCTTACAAAAAAGCACGATGAACTCGAAAGATTATAGTCCCTCTAAAAGTAATAAAAATGACACACTACTAGATGACTCGGAGCCTGCTATAGCGAAAATGACGGGTATTGAAATTCCTTCATCTGAAAATCATCCCAAACAAAGTGATCATATATTGTCGGACACGTCAGAGTCAACGTGGGATGAAACGTCATCAAGTAGCGAATCTGTTTCTTTTAAAAATTCAGTGCTTAAAACCCATCGACTAAAAAATTCTACTGCTACTAAATCATCAGGTAATAGAAGTACGTTGGCTACAGAAAGTTTTAATTCCTCTATGTCATATAATGACAAATCTGTGTCAGAATACCAACCGGATTCATCTTTACAAAATACAACAGTAAATACAAGTTCAATTGTGGAAGTTAACACGGCTCCAATTCAGATAGATTCGTTAAGAGTTCCGTTTTCAAAATCAAAACTAAAAAGACATTTTTGCATGTATTGCAAAACATTGCAGTGCAAAATTGCTCGACATTTATTCTTAAAACATAAAAACGAAAATCTAGTTAAACAAGCAATGGCACTTCCCAAATTGAGCAAAGAACGTTTAAAATTAATTGAAGACATTCGAAAACAAGGAGATTTCATACACAATACATGCAGTGATCAGAACACTGGTATTTTAATTGTATCTAGACGACAACAACAAAAAACAAACCGAAAAGCCGACGACTATATATGCTGTTCAAAATGTAAAGGATTTTATACAAAATTTGCATCACGACAACACAGTAGGAAATGTGTTCAAAAACACAACTCCAGATCAAGTTTTATTGAAGGGCGAAAATTAACTCAATATATACACCATGTTGCGAGTCCTGCAATGAAAACAACTATATTTCCTGTTCTCCGAAATGATAACATAACCAAAGCAATACGTTTCGACGAATTAATTATCCGATATGGTAACAGATTATCCGAAAAACTTTCTCAAAGTCACCACCATGATCAAATCCGAGCAAACATGCGCCTTTTGGGTAGATTTAAAATAGAATTTATGAAAATTGTGCCGGAGGTATCCGAATTGAAAGATATATTCAAACCATATTTGTTCGATAATGCTATTGAGGCACTTCGAAAAACAGCAAAGTGGACCTTTGATAAAGGATTCGCAACGCCAGCTGTTGCCACATCCTTGTCATCTTTAATAAAAAAATGCGCACGGATACAACGAAATGAATTTATTAAATGTCAAAATGAAGATTCCAAATGTAGCTTAGACAATTTTATTTCTCTTTGGGTAGAGGAAACACCCGTACAAATCAACAAAAAAGCTCTGGAAGATCTCGAAAATCGGAAAAGGACAAAAACTAATGACTTGCCAAGTAAAAACGACATCAAAATTTTGTATGATTATTTAAGAACTATAATGCTTGATTCCTTCGCCGAATTATGCTTAAACTACAATTTCATTTCCTGGAAAAAACTTTTGGAATCTACATTAATATTTATCCAAGTATTCAATCGACGAAGAGCTGGGGAAATTGAAAGGTTAACGATTGAAAACTTTAATAAAAAGGAACAAATAACTGATTGTGTTGAAGCTGGCATGTTGGAAAATATCTCTAAACAATCCATTGATTTCGCCAAACAATTCGTTCGAATCACGTTACGGGGCAAGTTAGGAAGAACCGTGAGCGTTTTGCTCGACCCTCTGTGTATTAAGTCCATTAACATTATTCTTAAATTCAGAGAAAAGGCTGGCATTTCCAAGACAAATCCATATATATTTAGTGCGCCTGGTAAGTCCAGCTTAGCAAAAAGTTACTGCAGAGCCTGTCCTTTGCTGAGAAAATTTGCATCAGAGTGTGGAGCATTGATTCCCGATACACTTAGAGGCACAAAACTGCGAAAACACATAGCAACATATACCTCATTGCTGAACGTGCAAGAATCGACGGTTGATAGACTTGCTAACTTTTTAGGCCACCACAAAGACATCCACAAAAGCATATATAGGGTATCGGTGCCAATAGCCGAAATTACAAGCGTGTCAAAAATTTTATTATCGGCTGCTGGGTGCAATTTTCAAAATAGTATCGAAACTAGTAATTCTAATAGAAATATAGTTTCTGATAACGAAGGGAGTATGCAATATGAAGGTTTGGAGGAAAATTCTGAAGATTCAGAAACAGATATGGTAAAACCGAAGAGACGTAGTAGTAAGTAAAAATTGTAGAAACTATAATTCTTAATATTTTTTGATTACTTAGCTGTATATTAACCAACTTAGTACTACACAAATAACAATATTTTCAATATTTTAGCATCCCCTTTCGGACGGACAATACGCAAGAGGTGGAGCAGCGCTGAAATTGATTCCGTTAAAGAAACATTTGGAGATATTTTGGCCTTGGAGAAGTTGCCTTCCATAAAGCAATGTGCAGCAGCTATAGAAAAAAATATCTCCCTATGTAAAAGAACACCGGCTCAATTAAAAACATGGATAGACAACCAGCGAAAAAAAGTTGCCGTTCGAGGAAATTTAACAAATTGGTAACAAGTTTTAGTATTAATTTATAATCTGCTTCTAACAGCTTGTTTTTCAGATTTCCCCACTTTCAACACACGGTCACCGCCACAACATTCCACGGACCCAGTGCTTTCTTACTTTGTTTTAGTGATATAAGCTTTTCATGCATATGAAACACTCTTGCCCATGTATGGGATATGTTCACACACACGCACACACAATTACAATAATTTTATTTCAAAATATTTTTATCATGTTTTATTGATTCTATGAATACTGTAAAATTTTTATTGACGATTAATTTAAATTTAAATCCTATTCTTTAATAAGTATTGAAAACGTGTTATTTTAAGGAGTATGAATAAAAATATTCATTATTTATTTTGGCTTATGTTATTATTATAGTACTTATATATAATTTTTTGTAAAATACATCTTTAGCCGTTTTCGTGTACTCATTTCATTTAATTTGTCATTTCTTAATTCACTTCATTGTTATATAAAAAGCCAATATGACCAAAAGCTTATAATAACTAAATACAGTACCCAAAAAATACTTATTAACAATAACTTAAATCTATAAATACATTTTAGTAATAATACAATCAGAAATTCAATGAAAATAACAAATATAGTAATCCCACGACAACGTCCACTCATGTGTACGAAAAGTACTATATTTGACACAAATTTAATTTGGAGATACAAATCGAGCTGAATTTTAGGTGAACTAATAGAGCTAGACTCATTAAATTTGGTGTCAGGATCACTGTTGAGGTGTAAGATTGAGATATGTAAAAGCTTTAGAAATTTGTATTAATGTGTACTAAATTTTGTACAATTTGAATTAAGTGAACCGATAGAGTTGAAATTCTGAAACTTGGATTTGGGATCACTGTGGGGTTGGGGTATGTAAGAAGTTTTAGAATTTTGTACTAAGTGTACCAAATTTGGTACAATTTAAATTGAGAGTGAAGCGATAGAGTTGGAATCTTGAAATTTTGATTTAGGATCACTGTGGCGGTGTTGGTTTGGGTTAAGTAGGATGTTTTGGAAATTCGTACTACTGTGTACTAAATTTAGTACAAAATCCTGAAAATTGGTTTAAGGATGACTGTGGGGGTGTAGGATTGGGGCATGTAGGAAGTTTTGCAAATTGGTACAACTATGTACTAAATTTGGTACAATTTGAATCGTGGGTGAACCAATAGAGTTGGAATCCTGAAACTTGTATTTAGGATCACTGTGGGGTGTATGTTTGGGTTAAGTGGGTTGGGTTCGTACTACTGTGTACTAAATTTGATACTATTTGTATTTGGTTGAACCGATAAGACTGGTATCCTGAAATTGGGGAAATAAGCTTTTCAATGGATTATATGAAGTATATAGTAATGGAAAGCAATGGAAATGAAATCGTTTATATGATTTCTGTTGGATGGTTGAGGTGGGTACTTATGGAATTTTATATTAATGTGTATTAAATGGAACTAAATTTGGTAAAATTTGGATTTAGGTGAACCTTTAGAGCTCGAATCATGAAATTTGGTACTAAATGGTACTCAAATTTCATTTATGGTCGATATAAATGTGCAGATTGATTAGTTTTTCTGACATATGCAGTATTTTGTGAAAATAACATAACAAGTTAATACATGTTTAAATTATTCCAACATTCGTTAACGAAGTAACAGGCATATGCTATATGATAAAAATGATAAATGTAATGATGATAAAATTAATGTGACAACAAAACGTACTCATTTTTTAGCATTACCTTATAATTAAGATTTTATCTAATTCATTTTATCTAATTAAGATTTTATCTAATTATGGATTGCATGATGTAGGTAGTAATGGAAATATGTACTTATGTGTTCTAAGTGGTACTAAATGTGATACATATTGGATTTAGGTGAACCGATAGAACCCTGAAATTTGGAATTAAGATTGGGGTATGTGGGAAGTGTTGGAAATTCGTACTTTTGATTGTTAAAGTAGGTAGTTATGGAAATTTATATTAATGTACACTAACTGATACTCAATTTGGGTGAAGCTATATTTGATTTACAAGAGTACAAAGAGTGAAAAATGACACCAAATTTAGTATAGGTAAATTTCTGTTGCAGTCGGAATAGGTGTGTAGGGTTAAGATATAAATATAGATTTGAAAAACAAACTATAGGAGAACATATGTACTAAATTGTTCTAAAATTTTAATAATGCTCTGCATAGGGTTTTAAATACATCCAACATTCGCTAACGAAGTAGCGGGTGTATGCTAGTCGTAAATAATTTTATCACACATAGGCCCCTGTAAATATTTATGTATAGCTTACAAATCCAGTCTCTGTCATTCTGGAACAAATGTATACGGCATAGAATGCGATTTTTTTAATTTTTGCACACGAACGCCTTTGTCCATTTGTCCCGCTCTATATGCTTATTCTTTAGTGTTTCCCTAGGTAATGTTTTCTAACCTCTAGAGCGACCAAATTACATAAAATGCATTTGGTCGACTTCAGCAGGTAAATATTGACAAATTTTACAAAACAAAATAAGTGTCTTCTTTGGCCAGAATCGGATATGCATAATTTCGTGACGATTGGTTCACGAGACGGACCAACACACGTAGCTAGATGGAATCAGCTAGTCTAGATATGACGATCCGTATACCAAAAGATGGGTCTATGTCCAATATTTATTTACGTTAGCTAGTTTTTGCGACCCAAGCGTTAGGGACACAAAAACATGTAACATCCGCACAACATAGCTTTAGAATTATATTTCCTTATTCTTTGGTCTGATCTTTTTTACTGGTTTCATTTTAGTAACCAGTATGGAAAGTAGTAAAGTCGGACTGGGTTGACTATATGGTACCCTTCACCACTTTGGGGATATTCTACATATGTATCTTTTCTAAGGAACATTGACGTGAAATTGAACGAACTAAAATATGCGATCTTTATCTGTAAGTAAACCGACTAACATCAAGTAAACCGACTAACTTGAAGCAAACTTTACGCACGCTATTTGGTATGCTTCACTGTTTAAAATGTAATATCAATGAAGCTATGGAAGCTATGCTATATCTAGAGATTAATTTATATTAATTTCAGTAGCCAATCAGCCTAGCTATGGTTCTTTAGTGCACAATTTACATTAAATCTGACGAAAATATATATTGGAGCTATATCTAAATCTTAACCTATTTTCACGAAACTTAGCACACATCATTCTGGACCCAATTCAGTAGCCTATGCCAAATTTCGTGCAAATCGAAAGATATATAGGGACTTTGGTGCCCCATTTACCTTAAATCGGACGAAAATATATATTGGAGCTATATCTAAATCTGAACCGATTTTCACGAAACTTAGCGTACATCATTCTAGTCTTAATTCAGTGCGCTGTGCCAAATTTCATGCAAATCGAAAGGTATATAGGAACTTTGGTGCCCCATTTACATAGAATCGGACGAAACTATATATGGGAGATTTATCTAAATCTGAACCGATTTTCACGAAACTTAGCACACATCATTCTGGACCTAATTCAGTACTATATGCCTACTATATACTATATATAAATTTCGTGCAAATGGAATGATATATAGGGACTTTGGTGCACCATTTACCTTAAATCGGACGAAACTATATATGGGACCTATATCTAAATCTGGACCGATTTTCACAAAATTTTACACGCATCGTTCAGTACGTTATGCCAAATTTCGTTTAAATCGAAGTACATATATAGAAACTGTGGTACACAATTTATCTTAAATCGGACGAAAATATATATGGGAGCTATATCCAAATCTGTACCGATTTTTCCCAATTTCAATAGGGTTTGTTTTTGGACCAAATAAGTGACTTGTGCCAAATATCATCCAAATCGGATCATAAATGCGACCTGTACTTTGTTTACAATTTAACATCTACAGAAGGACGGACGGACATGCATAAATCGACTCAGAAAGTGATCTATGCCTATCCTCAAAAGGAACCATGTGTCTATCTCCTTTCCTTTTGTCTGTTACAAACATATGCACAAAGACATAATACCCTGTACCACAGTGTGGTGAAGGGTATAATAAATAGGGGATGTTTTTCTGTATTCATACACAAGAGAAAAACTTGTGAATTTGCAAACAAATTTTTTGATTATTTCTCAACATTTATTTTAATAATATATCAAAATAAAGTTCTCCGATTTATACAAAAACTAAAGAACATTAATTAATTCACACAAATATATAACAAAAAACCAGTAAGGAAAGTAGTAAAGTCGGACGGGTCCGACTTTATGATACCCTTCACCACTATGGGTATATTAAACAGGACTATTAACATGAAATTGGATGAAATAAAATATGTGATATTTATCTAAATGTGACTCTACCTAGATCTATCCATAAAGTATGTAAATCGACTTCAAACAAATATAAATAGGTCATCCGTTGGGCTATGTCTGTACTTCTACAAAACGCAACTACGTAATTCTATGCTCAATTTTGTACGTTGTGCAAAATTTGATGCCCAATTTACTTGAAATCGGTCGAAAATATATATATGGAAGCTCTATCCAAATATTAAGCGATTTCAAACAAATTTGTCACAGGTTAGGTTATACTAATTTCAGAACGTTTTGTTCCTATCAGCCTATTGGTTCCTTGGTGCATCAATTACTTAAAATCAATATATAATAAAAGGGAACTATATCTAAATCTGGACCGATTTTCATGAAACAAGGCAGACATCACTCTAGGCTCAATTCAGTACGTTATGCCAAATTTTGTGCAAATCGAATGATATATAGGGACTTTGGGGCAC